AGGGGCGAGACCAGTGGAGTATCTTAGACGGCTGCTCACAGGCTTTTAAGACCCCAGACGCTACTCACCAAGGTGGAATGTAGAACACTGTCTTCATAAACTGTGGTATGTCAGTTGAGCTAGGTGTTCCCCGAGACCATGGTCCCCACAGCCCTCTGCCCAGCGATTCAGTCCTTCAGGGAGTTTGGAAGTGTCTATGGAGCTTCCATGACCTTTCCTTGTACAGGTTGTGCTGGCTTCCCCAGTAATGTGTACTGTCTTACCCTTCCCCCCCACCCCTCCCATCCCACATAACCAACAAAGATTGTGTCTTTTTGTGTGTAAACTTTTACATGAGTTTTTACAGTAGAGGTCTCGTACAGTATTTGTCCTTTTGAGATTGACTTATTTCACTCAGCATAATGTCCTCCAGTTTCATCCGTGTTATGAGATGCTTCACAGATTCATCATTGTTCTTTCTCGTTGCATAATACTCCATTGTGTGTATGTACCATAGTTCGTTTATCCATTCATCTGTTGATGGGCATCTAGGTTGTTTCCATCTTTTTGCTATTGTGAACAGTGCTGCAATGAATATGGGTGTGCATATGTTCTTTTGGCAGCTTTTTGATGGCATCTTCAATCTCTCATTTTGTAATGGGTCTGTTTAAATTTTCTCTTTGTGTTAGTTTGGATAGGTAGTGTGTTTCTAGAAATTTGTCCATTTAAGTTTTCAAATTTGTTGGAGTATAATTTTTCACAGTAATCAGTTAGGATCGTCTTTATCTCTGTTGGATTGGTTGTAGTGTCACTAATTTCATTCTTAATTTGGTTATTTGCCTCTTCTGTTTTTTTTCTTTTGTCAGCCTAACCAGTGGTTTGTCTATTTTATTGATCCTCTCAAAAAAGCTACTTCTGGTTTTGTTAATTCTGTTTTCTATTTCATTTATTTCTGCTCTGATCTTTATTATTTCCATTTTTCTGGTAGCTTTTGGCTTCTTTTGCTCTTCCTTTTTTATTTGTTCAAGTTGTCGGTTTAAGTTAATGATTTTCGATCATTCTTTTTTAATGTAGGCATTTATTGCTATGAATTTCCCTCTGAGTACTGCTTTTGCTGTATCCCAAAGATTTTAATATGCTGTGTTTTCATTTTCATTTAATTCTAGAAATTTTTAATTTCTCTTTTGATTTCTCCTATGACCCAATAGTTTCTTTAGTAGTATATTATTTAGTTTCCATGTATGTATTTATTTTTCCTGTTGGTGATTTCTAGTTTCATAGCATTATGGTCAGAGAAGATGCTTTGTATAATTTCAGTCTTTTTAAATTTGTTGAGACTTGTTTTGTGTCCCAGCATATGGTCTATTTTGGAATATGATTCATGTGTGCTGGAGAAGAATGCGTATTGTTCTGATGCTGGGTGGAGTGTTCTATACATGTCTGTTAGGTCCAGTTGGCTTACGGTTTTATTTATGTTCTCCGTGCCCTTATTGATCTTTTTTGATGTTCTGTCTATAATTGAAAGTGGTGTGTTGAAGTCCTCTACTATTATTGTGGAGTTGTCTGTTTCTCCTTTCATATTAGTCAGTATTTGTTTTATGTATTTTGGTGTATTGCTGTTAGTTGAATATATATATTTATAATTGTTATGTTATCTTGCTGTATTGACTCTTTTATTATTATATAATGTCCTTTATCTCTTGTAATTTTTATCTAAAATCTGTTTTGTCTGATATCAGTGTGGCCACCCCTGGTCTTTTTTTTGTTTACTGGTTTCATGCAGTATTTTCTCAATCCTTTATTTTCAGTCTGTTTGTATCCTTATGTCTAAGGTGTGCTTCTTATAGACAGCAAAAGGATGGATCATGTTTTTCTATCCATTCTTCTGCTTTCTGCCTTTTGCATGGGGCTTTTAGATTATTTATATTTAAGGGTATTACTGAAAACAAAGTGTCTACCTCACTCATTTTGCTGTTTGTTTTTTGAGTGTTTCATATTTTTTTTAATTCTGATTTTTCTGCTTTTGTTTGTATTTGGCTACTTTCTTGTAATGAGTCTTTTTGCTATCTTCTGAATACTTCTTCTTTGTGATTTTTTTAGTGGTTGCCACATGTGTTACATTACACAACTTAAGATTGCAACAATGTTTAACATACGAACAACATTTAACATACAGCTTTAACGTAATAAATCTGTTCCTGATATGCTCCTCCCTCCTCCATTTCTGTTGATGTCAATGTACAACCTATATTTGATAAGTTTACTTTACACTTATTTCTTACAAACTTGATATTTTATTGTTTGCAGAATTTAATTATTGCATTTATTCCCTGAAGATATCAAATAATTGGCCCTTATGATTGCCTGTGTTGTGTTTTTTGGAAATCTCTGTCTCTCTCTTATTTTTTATTTTTTTCCCATGTATAAATATGAGTATTTATTTATTGCCCTTGCCTTTACATTTGGAGTACTCTCTTGAGTAATACTTTCAGAGCTGATGTGGTAGTGACAGATTCCCAGAGCTTCTGTTTATTTGGGAATGTCTTGATTTCTCCCTCATTTTTGAATTACATCTTTGCTGGGTAAAGCAAAAAAAAAAAAAAAAAAAATCTTTTCTTGGTTGGCAGTTGTTTCTGTTCTGTATTTTATATATGTTACTCCATTGTCTTCTGGTTTCTAGAGTTTCTGGGGAGAAATCTGCAGTGATCTTATGAAAGCCCCTTGGTGTGTTATGTAGCATTTTTCTCTTGCTCCTTTCAGAATTCTCTCCTTGTCTTTGATTCTCCAGAATTTTATTAAGGTATGGTGTGGAGCTGATTTTTTTTGTGTCTCTTCTAATCAGGCTCGTGTAGCTTCCTGTATTTGCAGGCTTGGTTCTCTGTTCAGGTCTGGGATATTCTCTGATTATCTCTTGGAAAATTGTTTCTATGCCTTTATTGTTGTCATGCTGCTCTGGGATTCCAATAATTCTAATGTTAGATTTCTTAATAGAATCTGTTCGCTTTTGTTCTTTTCTCTTGTTTCTCTTGAGACTTACTAAATTCAGTTATTTTGTCTTCTAGTTCATTTATTTATCTTCAGTTCAATTCTATTGTTGAGTGTTTCTCTTGCTTTTTCTAATTCAGTTGCTTTATTCTTCAGTTCTAGTAATTTTTTTAAATGTTTTCAGTTTCCTTGTTGAGTCTCTCATTTTGTTCCTCTGTTTGTTTCCTGATCTCTGCTAGTTTGTTTTCTGTGTGGTTTTGCTTTCTTTAAACATATTTAGCACCATAGTCTGAAAATTATCAATTCTTTGCATTAGTCAGGTGTCATAGGAGAAATTTCCTCTTATTCATGTTTTCCTTTTGATTTGTCTTTCTTCTCTTGTGACTTTGTGTGTTGTACTATTTTTTGTTGAACCTGAGCCATTTTGTTATTATTGTTATTATTATTAGTATTTTTTTTTTACTTAAAATTTTGTTTTCTGCTTTTATGTGGGAAAATTTTCTGATTGGGTGCCCTGGTGGTGCAGTGGCCAAGCATCTGGCTGCCATCCAAAAGGCTGGAGCCTGCACTCACTAGCCACTCCATACCTTGAATGGCCACTAGCAAGATTTTAAGACCCTAGGCACTACTCACTGAACTAGGGGGTAGAAGAAAAACTTTAAAAACTATATGAGGCCAATTGACTAGACAGTCCCCAGGAACTCCGTTTGATTACCTATAGGAGAAAGTCCATATTCCCTGGCAGATTCATCACAATTGGGTGCCCATCTCTGCATCTCCAACTTCATCTCAGCTCACTTGCCCCCTCCCCAGCTGAAGCTTCAGCCACAAGAAGCGTCCCACCATCCCTGAACATGGCTTACCTCTTCATCATTTGCTCGTCTTTCTTCCTGAAGACCTCCTTTTAATGGCAAATTTCTCATTCTTCAGACCCAGCTCAGATGTCACGTCCCCCAGGTAGATGTAGCTGGGTCCTCCTCTGTGCTCCTACATACTCCTCCTGGCATCTGATGACACGTTTGTCTTCCTGACTCAGATGGAAATTCTTAGGAGCAACAGTGTGCCTAGTACCTGGCACAGAGCCTCGTACATAGTCGGTGGTCAAAGAATGCCTGTTCTCTCCAGAGTACCTGTGAGACTTAAGACCCCTGCAATGTGTTTGTGACCTTCTTCTACTCCCTGAATCATTTTGTGCCTGTTCATGTCCAAGCCCTTGGTTCTCTCATATTCAGCCCACAGAGCTTCACCTTCCTTCCAGAGTGTCTGTGATTTTTCTCTTTCCCAATCCTCACCACCCCTACAGCATCTGTACCCCTCCACTGTACCAGGAGGGAGGATTCAATTCCTTGTTGCATTCCCCCACTGTCTGTGAGACCCCCATTAATCCCCTTGAGTGGTATTTCTCAAAGCGAGGTCCTGAACTGCCTGTATCAGGATACCTCTGGTTGCTTGTTTGAAATGCAGGTTCTTGGGCCACTCCCCAAATCTACTGAATGAGAATTGCTGGGCCCAGAGCCCAGGAATCTGCATGTTAATCAATTCCCCAAGTGGTTCTAGGATACCATAAAAATTTGGCTTGTTCCGGAGCACTGTACACTCACTCCTGTTCAGAAAGAACGCTGGTTCCCTCAGACATTTACCATAGAGGGAGAACTTAAGTAAGCTTGGGACAGACTGCAGAGCAACCCCCATCCTGGAGAGTCACAGGACAATTAGCATATTATGGGGTAGAGAAGTCCCTAAACAAAAAGAAAAGAAGTATGTTTCACTTTTATGGTTATGCCGAAAAACTGACTTCCACAGGGGAAGCTTTTATTCTCCCTCCATACACACAAACATTCCAGCAGTTTCCCCTTAACACTGGTTTCCCTTCCTGAGTGAGGTGGCATCTGTAATGTGCTTAGCAGTGCCTGGTGCTTAAGGGTGCTCGGTCCCTGATAGTTTCTGCCCCTGCTTTATCTGCCACTCTGCCTGTGACCCCTTTGGCTTTCCTCAGTGCATCTCTGACAGCTCTTCTCCTCCCTTTCGCCCTGCAGGGGGGGTCCTCTATGCTGCCACTGTGAGAAACTACCTGGGAACGGAGCCAATTATCTCCCGGGCTGTGGATCGCGCTGAGGACTGGATTCGGACAGAGACCTTGCCATCCTGGCTTAACGGTGGGGATGGGTGGGGGCTGCTCTGGGGGGCAGGATGGTGGAGGCCGGGTGGCCCCAGGATGTGTCTGTGGGAATCTGAGGCCCCGGGTCTCCCCAGCCCCAGCCTTTGTTGCAGCCGTGGCTTTGAGCCCAGTCGAGTGGGGGAATGAAGATGGAGATGACGAAATCTACTTCTTCTTTACGGAGTCTTCCCGGGCATTGGACTCATACGAGCGCATTAAGGTCCCACGGGTGGCCCGCGTGTGTGCGGTGAGACCCTGATCCCAGCCATCTGTCTGTCAACTCCTGCTCTGACTATCCTCCTGTCTTTTCCTCTCTGGGCCTCGGTCTTTGCATCTCTCCTCTGTCTCCTCTTTTTTTCTGCTGTGGCTACTTTTATGGGAGCTTAAGGAGGGCATGGAGGGGCTCTGGCCTCTTTGACTCCCATAATTACCCTCGTGACACCCTGTCCCCAGAAGGTGGCTTAGTGTAAAGGTTATAGGCAGGACCTGGTGACGGACAGACCTAGGTTCAAGTCCCTGCTTCACCATGTACTGCCTGTGTGACTCTGGGCAGGTTCTTTGACATTTTGAATCTCATCTGTAAAATGAAGATACTAATTATGCCTATCTACGAGGGTTGTTTTGAGGACTGAATGAGGTAACTTGTGTAAAGCACGCAGCACAGCATTCCATAAGCACACAATTAACTTAATCACTGTCTTTTTTACTGTGACCCCTCCCACCTTGGTATTGAAGCCCTGTATCTCATTATCTTCCAGGTTACTCTGTCTGTATCTCTTTTCTTGCATTTCTGTGTGTCTGTCTCCCTGTCTGTGTCTGTCCTGAAGCCAGGGAGGAAACTTGTGTTCGTCTCCTCGCACCTCCCACAACGTTGGTCTTCTAAAGAGAATGTCTTATGCACTTGTCACTCCAGGGGGACCTTGGGGGCCGGAAGACCCTCCAGCAGAGGTGGACGACGTTTCTCAAGGCTGACCTGCTGTGTCCAGGGCCTGAGCATGGCCGGGCCTCCAGTGTCCTGCAGGACATGGCCATACTTCGACCTGAGCATGGAGCAAGGACCCCCATCTTTTATGGCATCTTTTCCTCTCAGTGGTGAGGGGGTCCTGGTGTAGAGGAGAGTTACAGGGTGGGAGATGCGTGGGATTGGCACAGTGTCACTGCTGTCTCTCCAGAGAGGGAAGACTTTCCCTCCCACAACGGCAAGGCTCCTTGTGCATTTCTCATGGGTCATCTCATTTGACAAGGGTGAGTTGTTTTCCTCTAGCTCCCTCCAAATATCTGGCTCCAACCTGTGACTCTTCCAGGGGGGGAGCTGCCATCTCTGCTGTCTGTGCCTTCCGACCACAAGACATTCGGACAGTGCTGAACGGCCCCTTTAGAGAGCTGAAACATGACTGCAACAGGGGACTGCCTGTCCTAGACAATGATGTGCCCCAGCCTAGACCTGGAGAGGTGAGGACGCTGGGCCAGCTCTCCATCCCTGGGCTTGAAGTAAAGAGCTGCCGTGAGTGCCAGAGCCCACCTAAACATCACCGATACTTCCTGGCCCTGGAAGCTTTGTTACCCACCGCTGTGTTTCCTCTAGTGCATCACCAACAACGTGAAGCTCCAGCAGTTTGGCTCATCTCTCTCCCTGCCTGACCGTGTACTCACCTTCATCCGGGACCATCCACTCATGGACAGGCCAGTGTTTCCGGCTGCTGGCCATCCCCTGCTGGTCACTACAGATACAGTCTATCTCAGAGTTGTGGCCCACAGGGTGACCAGCCTCTCAGGGAAGGACTATGATGTCCTCTACCTGGGGACAGGTATATTTAATTGTCCAGCAATTGCCTACCCAGTGGTAATCTTGCCGGATGTCAGCGCCCCAGGCACAGGTACAGTGATGTCATTATGTCTCTGCCTTCTAGAGGATGGACACCTCCACCGAGCAGTACAGATTGGAACCCGGCTCAGCGTCCTTGAGGATCTCGCCTTATTCTCAGAGCCACAGCCAATTGAGAACATGAAATTGTACCAGGTGAGTTGTAAATTTTAGGGGACCTGGGAGACATCTGAGTCCAGAGGTAGTTTGTGACCCTGAGGTCTGGGAGATCCAGTGTATTCCCCTTACCCACTCCCTTTCTCTAGGGCTGGCTCCTGGTTGGCTCCCATACCGAGGTGACACAAGTGAACACAACCAACTGTGGCCGTCTCCAGAGCTGCTCAGAGTGCATCCTGGCCCAAGACCCTGTCTGTGCCTGGAGCTTCCGACTGGGGGCTTGTGTGCCCCATACCAGGGAGCATGGAGGGTGAGTGTAGCCGCACTGGTCTCTTGCCTGCTGTCCTGTGGCTGTGCTCCATCTATAGACCTGTGGCTGGGTCTCATCCATCTGTTAATGCTGCTGTATCTCTGTATGTTTTTTCCTTCCTGTTAGTGTCTGTGTCACTTGTGTGTCTATATGTTGGTCTATACTAACTCATCTGTCTGTCTGTCTTGTGCCACCTCATCAATGCCCTTGCCTCTCTGCTAGATTTGCTCTGATCATGTGATGGGCCTCCATCTTGCCAACTCTAGTGGACACTTCTCAATTTTCTTCTTACAAGAACTCTCAAAAGGTTTTCACAGCTGACCACAGCTTTCTTCCTTGAAGTACTCTTTCCTCTTGCTTTGTGTGACTCTGCGTTCTTCTGGTTTTCCTCCTTACCTTACTAGCCTGTGTCCCTTATTGATTCCTTTTCCATGCAACTTATGTATGCTGATGTTCCTCAAGGTTCAGTCCTGGACCCCCTTTACATTTCCGTATTCTCTCTAGATGATTTCATTCCCACTTTCAATACAATCTGAGTGCTGGTGATAACGACAAACGTATCTTTTGCTGAACTACAGAATTCTGTCTCCAACTGCCTACTTGATATTCCCCTTGGATGCTTCTATGAACTTAGCAAGTCTCAGTATGCACTCTTGTTTCTTTTTTTCCTCATATACTCCTACTCTGGTTTTCCTCATCTCAATAAAGGAACCTTCATTTGTCGAGTAATCCAACCAGAAATCAGCCACACTGTATTGCAACTTGTGTTGATTCTAACTCCAAAACATGTCCTCAATCTACCCTCTTCTCTCCATCTCTACTCTGCCACCACCCTAGTCCAAGCCATCTCACTTCTTAACTAGAGTACTGTAATAATCTAAATTATCACTGTTCGTTCATTTTGGTACCACTTACTCTTTCCTCAGAAGGTAGTTAAAAACATATGTCAGATTGTGTCATACCCCTGATTAAAAATAGATTATTTTCCAGGGACCTTACCAAAATGATTTTCCTGTTTACCTTTTAAGAGTTGGGCAGAAGAATATAGGAGCCCATTTTTAGCTTCCCCTCTTCCAAGAAGGATCTTGGGGATGGATGGGTAACTAAAGGTGGATATCAGGAAGTCAATAATGAACTCCATTCAGGAGGGGCTCAGGCTCTTTAGACAGGCTCAAGCTGCCCAGTGAGGGTTTTGCTATTTATACAAGTGACCCAACACTATTCAGACAATCCCAGGCAACTCCTTCCCAGTCCTCATAGTAAAGGAAGGGAGTTGAGGGAGATTTTCATACTAAGAGGATCCATTATAATCTGGGATAGCAGAAAATAGATAGGTTGAATTAAGACGGGTTTCCTGGCAGCATCAGATCCATTAAGGTACCCCCTCACATCCTTCTCCCTCCTGTTGTATAGCATTGTCTTTACACTTTTGACCCATCATCCCATAAAGCCCAGGTTTTCATACAATTCTGGGGTTCATAAAGTTATATCAGAAAATGCTCACTTCCGTACATCTTTGACAAAATTGGGATGATTTTGTTTAATCTTTCTCAGTCTTACAGGCAAAACTATAATCTCCTTGTTATTTTAATTTTATTTTGTTGATTATTGGGCAGGCTAATTTTTTTTTTTTAATTTAATGGTTGTTTGTGTTTCTTTGATTGTGATTTGCCTGCTCATGTGTTTTGTCTCTGATACATGAGTAGTTTTAACCTGTTGTTGCTGTACCATCAATGCTATCTGTTTATCGACTCTGCTTTCTGTCTGTTAGCTCTGTACTGTGTATGCCACCTGTATGTCTTTCTGTATATTGTCTCTGAACTGTTACAGTGTTTGGCTTATTGTACATTGTCTCTACATTGTCAGTGTGTCTGTCTGCTGGCTTGGCCTCATCTGAGCTGATCATTAGATCCTTTGTGGGTTGGGCCTGGATCTATCTACCCATTACCTGCTAATGCCTGTTGGATGTAGGAACTTCAAAAAGGCTTAGGGCTGTGGTTGTGTACTGGAATAACTTAGTCTTGCTTGTGTACTGGAATAACCTAGGGAGCTTTAAAAAACATTGATGCCTTGGTCCCACATCCCAGATGTAATTAGACTGGGATGTAGCCTGGGCATCACAGATTTTTAAAAAAACTTCCCAAGTGATTCGAAGATGCAGCCAAGTGAGACTCACTGATTTCAGTGAGTCACTGGCTAAAATTAAAAAGACTGACCATATCAAGTGTTGGTGATGATGTAAAGCAACTGAAACTCTTATGCACTACTGGTGGAAATATAGAATTCCCCTTCCATGTGGGAGACCCCAGTTCGATTCCTGGCCAATGCACCTCACGTGCAGCCACCACTCATCTGCCAGTGGAGGCTTGTGGGTTGCTATTATGCTGAACAAGTTTCAGTGGAGCTTCCAGACTAGGACAGACTGGGAAGAAAGACCTGGTGACCTACTTCCAAAAATCAGCCATTGAAAACTCTGTGTATTACAACAGTCCAGTCCTCAACTGATCATGGGGACTGTACAGGACTGGGCAACATTTCATTCCATTGTGCATGGGATTGCCATGAGTCAAGGATTGACACTTCATGGCAGCTGACAACAACCACCACTACTTTGGAAAGCAGTTTTGCTTTTTTTTTTTTTTTTTTTTGTGGTAAAATAGATATAACAAAATATTTGCCGTTTTAACTATTTTTACATATACAGTTTAGTGACATTAATTATGTGGTAATTTCTTAAACACACATACACCTATCATATGACCTAGCTATTCTACTCCTCGGTATTTCCAGAAGAAATGGAAGTGTATGTCCATACAAAGGCTTGTACATGAATGTTCATAGCAGCTTAATTTGCTATGGCCCAAAATTGTAAACAACCCAGATGCCCATCAACAAGGGAATGTGGTATATTCATACAACAGAATACTATACAGCAATAAAAGGGAAGGAGCTACCAATACATGCATCAACATGGATGAATCTCAAATTGAAAGAAGCCAGGCAAAAAAGAGTGTATGCTATATGATTCCATTTATATAAAATTTTAAACAATGAAAATTAATCTGCAGGGACAGAAACCAGGTCTGTGGGACAGGGATTGCAAGGGGGCACAAGGAAACTTGAGAGTGGTGGATATATTTATTATCTTGGTTGTGGTGATGGTTTCATGGTGTATACATGCATCAAAACTTACCAAATTGTACACTTCAAGTATGTGCAGCTTATCATGTGTTAATTATGTACCTCAGTAAAGTTGTTACAAAAAGACTGGACACCTCCCTCCCACCTCCCTAAAAAAAGGGACACAAAGATATTTTAAAAAGTTAAATTTCATAAATGGGACCCACACACACCAACTTAATTTAACAATAGATATTTTTTCCACTTCTATTGGTTAAGACAATTTCCTAAGGAAGAAATGTTGTTTTCCAGCTTAATTACACACTATATTTTTATTACCTTTTAAACTTAAGATATTTAATATGAAAGTTCCCAAATTTGTAATTATAAATTGTTAGAAAGATGGAACTCATGTATACGATTTTATAAATACAAGAAGAGGCAGAATAGTTTAATTCCCCTTTTCTTAACTTCTCATTTTGGGGCCAAGATTCAAAATGACATTTTCCCTCTGATTGACATTAGTCTTAGAGAAACTACATTACTCTATATGGAATTTTTGGTGTCTTGTCAGTTCTTAGCAACTAAGGATTTAAGCTTTTCTTCTGGTATGTAAAGATATGCCAAAAACCAGAATTTCTGGTTAAAACACAATTTAATTCACAATAGCATTTTAGTTTTACTTATGAGGAATTTATCTTGAAATAGATAAAGGTTTAAATTTTTAGATTCTTAGTCATAACCTATTCATATATATTGATTTTTTTTTAACAAAAGTATTTTTAAGCTTATTTTAAAAAATACTTTTATCAATGAAAACGTTTTATGTTTTCAATGACGAATTTTTTACTTTTATTTTTAAAATTTTATCGTGGTGAAAATATATATAACAAACCATATGACATCTTAACAATTTCAATGAAGAATTTTTAAATGTTTTCATGTGGAAAATTGTAAAGATACTAAAATAAGGAGTATAGTTTATTGAACCCTTCATGTACCCATCGTCTAGCTTCAGTAGTTATTAACTTGTGGCCAACCTTGTTTGATCCATGATCAACCCCCTCCCTTGTATTATTTTGAAGCAAATCCCTGACATCAGACTCATCTTATACATTTCAATATGGATCTCTCCAAGATTAGGACTCTCTTAAAAACATTTTATGATGGGAAATTTCAAACATTCAGAAGTAGAAAGAAAAGTATACTGAATGCCCATGTATCCATCACTCAGCTTCAGCAACCGTCAACTCCTGGCCAATCTTGTTTCATCAGTACCCTAAGTCACTTCCAACTATTTTGAAGCAAATCTCAAACATCACTCATTTCATCCATAAATCTTTCAGGGACTTTCTTAAAAACATACCATATTTCCATTATCATTCCAAAAACTTAATTTGTTAATGTCATCAAATATCCAGTCAATGTTCCAGTTTTCCCACTTGCGTGTGCTTTTAATAGTTTGTTTCAGTCAGGATTGAAATAGTGTCTATCGATTACAATTGGTTGATATGTTTTTTAAGTGTCTTTTAATCATTATGTCCTCTCAATGAAGTAATTTATTGCTTGGAAAGTAATTTTTCAAACAGACCTTGAGATTTCCTGTTTTGAAATCCAGTTAATTTAAAGGAATTTTTTAGAAGTAAAAGGATGTGTCTTTGGGAATAAAACAATTCACACATGTTAAAACAGAGTGGTAGTGTTTAAAATGATAACTGACACATAGAAAAAAAATCTTAAAATTTAATTTTGTCTTTTGGATATTCATTTTGCATTGTAAGTGTAAGATTTTGCTCAGACTCTTCACTTTCCACCATTTGGGGATATAAAGTAGCTATTGGATGGTAGGTTTGGCTATCTTCACATTTTTGGTTAAGAATTCTGACCTGGTCTTCTAGTTTCTCTTGGGAGAACTTTTAAATGTCTAGGATGAAAGCAGGTGATTTATTGTTTCCTTTATTGTTTTAATATCCGTTAAGATAAGAGTTTCATTGGGCTAGGGCATCCTATGTTCTTAAGCTTCATGAGTACCCTTAAGATACATGTGTGTGTTGGGGTGGGGGTGTATGCCAGTGGCCTGAGTCGGTACTTTGGTACACTCCATCCTCCATACCTCAATTCACGCAAGAGAGAAAAACAGACTTTGAAGTTCCTGTGGCTACATGTGGTCTTGTCTTGTTCCTAAGCTCAGCTGGACTAGTCTGCCTTAGTTTTACCCAGTAAAATTCCATCCATTTATACCAGCCTCAGGACTCATTTCAGGGGGCTCAATGACTGTTGAAGGAGTTCACCCTCAAGCCAGGTCTGTCTTCGGTCAAGATGTTCATGTGTTCAGACTGGACTTCTTCATTGACAGTCTTAGTAGAGGCATCAGAAGGCTCCCCCTACCTCTGGGAGTGGTGCCAGGGTGTTTGTCAACAATCAGTCTGTCTTGTTATCCCTCTGTCAGAGACAATCCACCCAAATTCTGGAAGTATGAGGATTGTGTTGTGTTTAAAACAGATCCATTAGAGGCTAATATATATCAACAGTATTGAAGTGAGAGAATACCCATGTAGTCTTCATCTTTGGAGATCATCTTGCTGATTTCCATAGAATTTTGGTTAGGTTTTATAGAAAAGAGGTTTTCTCTTTTTCTTAAAAAAACAGAAAAAAAAAAAAAGAAATGTCATTTTAATACATTTTTTTCCATAGACATCTTGTGGTTGTGGACAACCACCTACGTTTCTTGGAAAGCTCTCATCTTTCTTTAAAAGCACTCCTACCTAACATCTTCCTAACAGACCTAGTGCAAGTCTGGTTAACTGTGGTCTGCTAGAAATATGTGCAGAATTTGGCAAGGCAAATGTCATGAGGGGTATAGGAGGCAATTGGGTTTTGACTGGGGAAAAATTTAGTGATGAGAATGTTGGCCAGTAATTCTAGGAGTGATTTACAAGATGATGGCTGTAACGAGTGGGTGCACGTTCAGTGACACTGAGGATGGTAGAAGAAATGTTGACCCTGGATTTACCGAGTATTCTCTTTATAGGCTGGTGCAAGGCATGGAGTCAGCAGACATCTCCTCTTTGTGTCCCAAGGAGCCTGGAGGTCTGTATGGTTTAGGGAAGTGTGGGTAGAACGGGTGAAAAGGTCTATTTTGGACCCACTTTAAAATTTAGATTCTGGGAGGTATGGCAGCTGATGACCCAGGGTCTTATTCTCATTGGGAGCCCGCTTTTCAGCTTTGTCCCTGTGGCCCCTTCTCATATCCAGCACCCCATATTTCTCCTCATACCCCCAGCCTGTATCCTCACCACCTCTTGTGCCGCTGCTGTCTCCCCACAGAACACCCGGTAGTGTTTGAAGTTCCTTTGGCAACAGCTGCACACGTGGTCTTGCCGTGTTCCCCAAGCTCAGCGTGGGCATCCTGTGTATGGCACCAGCCTGGTGGAGTGACTGCACTCACCTCCCGGCGGGATGGGCTGGAGGTGGTGGTGACCCCAGGGGCCATGGGAGCCTACGCCTGTGAATGTCAGGAGGGTGGGGCAGCGCGAGTAGTAGCGGCTTACAGCTTGGTATGGGGTAGCCAACGGGCGCCCCCAAGCCGGGCCCACACAGTGGGGGCTGGGCTGGCTGGCTTCTTCCTGGGGGTTCTTGCAGCATCCATGACTCTCCTCTTAATTGGTCGGCATCAGCAGCGACGGCGGCAGAGGGAACTCCTGGCACGAGACAAGGTGGGCTTGGACCTGGGGGCCCCACCGTCTGGAACCACAAGCTACAGCCAGGACCCTCCCTCCCCCTCTCCTGAAGATGAGCGGCTGCCCCTGGCCCTGGCCAAGAGGGCCAGTGGCTTTGGTGGCTTTCCTCCACCCTTCCTGCTTGATCCTTGCCCGAGCCCAGCCCACATTCGGCTAACTGGGGCTCCTCTAGCCACGTGTGACGAAACATCCATCTAGAGCTGGGCAAATGACCACTAGTGCATGGTGATCACTGGAATAGAGTGACCACTGATATGTGGGGTCACTGGGCCAGAAAGACCATCAGGACCTCCAGTTGTCTTTAAGTCTGAGTGACCACTTAGACTTCAGTATCTGCCCTTTCTGGGCCTGGACAGGCTAATGTCCAAGACAGGCCTTTGCCTGATTCCTGATTCCCATGAGAGGTCAGAGCTTCTGCTCTGTAGCTAATCTAGGCTTTTCCCAACCCTGCCCTCTGAACCCCTGTGACCCCTTCAGCCCTGGCCCCTATCTTGGGCCCCTTAGTTTTGGGGATGGGGCATAAGACACAACTAGGACTTCGGCGTCTGTTTGGGCCCTGGCCGCTTCTGGTTGGGCCCTGGCCAGAAGGAAAAGCCAAGGAGGTGGTTGGGGCTAACAGACGCTGAGTCCTTGAGTGGTTTGCTGATTCTCACAGTTTATCTGACTCTCTGTAGGGGAGTGCATGGTCCCCATGTTGCAACATGGAATCTCTGCCCTGAGATCTCCCCCTTCCCAATTCTCCTTTCATGAAAGAGCATGTGTAAATACATGGGTGTTAACAGGAGGCCTGGCCACATGTGCATGAATGACTGGGCCAGTGCTTAGGTGTATTTATGGGGAGTCGGAAAGGGGAAGGTTGAGGGGGGCATTGCCTGCAGAACCTTAGACCCTGTAGCCAGCAAGGAAATGGCTTTCCTTTCTAAAAGGAAACAAATCACTGCCCCTCCCCAAATGACCCTCACAACCCTTCTCTAAATTTGAGTAGAGAAAAGCTCCTGAAGTGGCCTTCTGGGTGGGAAGGGCAGGGGTACCAGTGACCTTGTCTTTCTCTTCGGTTTTTGCCTCCTGGCTGCCACCACTGCCATGCCACAGCTGCTTTTCCTCTGGTTAGTGTGGGCTGAACCTCCTTTCCTTCACTCCCATTACAAATAAACTTCATGACATTCTCAATATTCAGGGAAGACAAAAGGGAAGCAGTCACAGGAAATACGAGCATTGTTGAGACAGGTTTGTATCAGTGATTTTACTCAGGATAACACCCTTGCCCTCAAGCAGGAGTTCTCCACCTGGGGACCATGGACTCCCTGAAACTGTATGCAAAATGTTGTATGTACTTGTGTGTCTGTATTTTTCTGGGGGGAAGTTTTATGATTTTCAAGAGAACCTAAAGCCTATAACAAGGGCAAGGGACCACTGCCCCGAGGTCACCGTGCTTTGGCTAAGCCGGGATGGTGCCACTCTGCAGCAGCTCTTCTTGGCCCCACTGCACCTGCCCTGTGGCTGGCCCCTAGACTTGTAGCTGCTGGACGACCTCTTGTTTCTGCAGTTTCTGGAAGCTGGGCTCTGTGCGTATTTGAAGATACTGTTCCTGGGTGGTGCAAACGGTTAAGCGCTCAACTAGTAGCCAAAAGGTTGGCAGTTCGAACCCACTCAGATGCGTCTCAGGAGACAGACCTGTCAGTCTTCTTCTGAAAAGTCATAGCCTTGAAAACCCTATGGAACGGTTCTAGTCTGCACACATGGGGTCGCCATGAGTCTGAATCTACTCAACGGCAACTGACAACAATGTTGACTCTCACCACAGTTAAAGACCTCTTCCTGCTTCAAACTCCCAGATGCTCTAAGCTTCTGCTCCAGTCCAGTCTGACCTGTGGATGTGCCTCATTCATACCTGGTGAGGGACCCCTTGGGCTCCACTGAACAAACCAGCCCTCCCCATTAGAAGTTTTCAGCTCTTCTTTTCCTTGCAGCAGCCTGTGAACTACTCAAAATAGTCCCTTTGGTTTGGAATTATCAGTGGCTTTGCCACTAATAAGTGTGTGATCTTTGGCAGGTAATGTAACCTAGGAACTTCAGTTTACTCATCTGTAAAGTGGGGATAACAATATCTACCTCAGGGTTGCTGCATAGATTATATGAGAAAATGTATAAACAATAAAGCATTATCTATACCAACGTTGTTGTTGTTAGGTGCCATCGAGTTGCTTCTGACTCAGAGCGAACCCGTGTACAACAGAACAAAACACTGCCGGGTCCTGTGCCATCCTCACAATCATTATACTTGAGGCCATTGTTGCAGCTGCTGTGTAAATCCATCTCATTAAGGATCTTCCTCTTTTTCGCTGATCCTCTTCTTTACCAAGCATGATATCCTTCTCTAGAGACTGGTCCTTCCTGATAACGTCCAAAGTACGTGAGACGAAGTCTCGCCATCCTTACTTCTAAGGAACATTCTGGCTGTACTTACTGAAAAACAGATTTGTTTGTTCTTCTGGCAGTCCATGGTATATTCACTATTTTTCGCTAGTACCTTAATTCAAATGTGTCAGTTCTTCTTTGGTCTTCCTTATTCATTGTCCAGCTTTCACATGCATATGAGGCGATTGAAAACACCGTGGCTTGGGTCAGGTGCACCTTAGTCCTCAAAGTGACATCTTTCTTTTTAACACTTAAAGAGATCTTTTGCAGCAGACTTGCCCAATGCAATATGTCATTTGATTTCTTGACTGCTGCTTCCATGAGCGTTGATTGTGGATCCAAGTACGATGAAATCCTTGACAACTTCAGTCTTTTCTCTGTTTATCATGATGTTGCTTACTGGTCTAGTTGTGAGGATTTTTGTTCTCTTTATGTTGAGGTGTAATCCATACTGAAGGCTGTAGTCTTTGATCTTCATCAGTAAGCGCTTCAAGTCCTCTTCACTTTCAGCAAGCAAGGTTGTGTCATCTGCCTATCGAGGTTGTTAATGAGTCTTCCTCTAATCCTGATGCTGCATTCTTCTTCATAGAGTCCAGCTGCTCAGATTAATTGCTCAGCATACAGGTTGAATAAGTATGGTGAAAAGACACAACTCTGATGCACACCTTTCCTGATTTAAACCACGAATTGCCCCCTTGTTCTGTTTGAAGGACTGCATCTCTGTCTTTGTACAGGTTCCTCATGAGCACAATTAAATGTTCTGGAATTCCCATTCTTTAAAATGTTATCCATAATTTGTTATGATCCACAGGGTCAAATGCCTTTGCATAGTCAATAAAATACAAGTAAACATCTTTCTGGTATTCTCTGCCTTCAGCCATCTGACATCAGTAATGATATCCCTTGTTCCACATCTTCTTCTGAATCTGGCTTGAACTTCTGGCAGTTCACTGTTGATGTACTGCTGCAAATGTTTTTGAATGATCTTCAGCAAAATTTTACTTGTGAGTGATATTAATGTTCTATAATTTCTACATTCTGTTGGATCATCTTTTTTGGAATGGGCACAAATATGGATCTCTTCCAGTTGGTTGACCAGGTAGTTGTCTTCCAAATTTCTTGACATAGATGAGTGAGCACCTTCAGCGCTGCATCAGTTTGTTGAAGCATCTCAGTTGGTATTCTGTCAATTCCTGGAACCTTGTTTTTTGCCAGTGCCTTCAGTGTAGCTTGGACTTCTTCCTTCAGTACCATCCGTTCTTGATCATATGCTGCCTCCTGAAATGGTTGAACATCGATCAATTCTTTTTGCTACAGTGACTGTGTATTCTTTCCATCTTCTTTTGATGCTTTCTGTGTTGTGCAATTTTTTGCCCATAGAATCCTTCAGTATTGCAACCCGAGGCTTGAATTTTTTCTTCAGTTCTTTCAGCTTGAGAAGTGTCAAGCATGTTCTTCCATTTTGGTTTTCTAACTCCAGGTCTTTGCACATTTCATTGTAATATTTTACTTTGCCTTCTCAAGCCACCCTTTGAAATCTTCCGTTCAGCTCTTTTACTTCATCATTTCTTTTGTTCGCTTTAACTGCTCTACGTTCAAGAGCAAGTTTCAGAGTCTCTTCTGACATCCATTTTGGTCTTTTCTTTCTTTCCTGTCTTTTTAATGGCTTTTTGCTTTCTTTGTGTATGATGTCCTTGATGTCATTCCACAACCCATCTGGTCTTTGGTCATTAGTGTTCAATGTGTCAAATCTGTTCTTTAAGATGTCCTCTAAATTCAAGTGGGTTATACTCAAGGTTGTATTTCGGCTCTCATGGAGTTGCTCTAATTTTCTTCAACTTCAACTTGAACTTGCATATGAGTAATTGATGATCTGTTCCACAGTCGGCCCCTGGCCTTGTTCTGACTGATATTGGACTTCTCCATTGTCTCTTTCCACAGATAGTTGATTTGATTCCTGTGTATTCCATCTGGTGAGGTCCACGTGTATAGTGGCTGTTTACGTTATTGAAAAAAGGTATTTGCAATGAAGAAGTTGTTGGTCTCTGGCATCGTTTCTATCACCAAGGCCGTATTTTCCAACTACCGATCTTTCTTCTTTGTTTCCATTCCAATCACCAGTAATTATCACTGCATCTTTATTGCATGTTTGATCAATTTCAGACTGCAGAAGTTGGTAAAAATATTCAGTTTCCTCATCTTTGGCCTTAGTGGTTGGTGGACAAATTGAATAGTATTCGTATTAACTAGTCTTCTTTGTAGGTGTATGGATAGTATCCTATCACTGACAGCATTGTACTTCAGGACAGATCTTGAAATGTTCTTTTGATGATGAATGCGATGCCATTCCTCTTTAATTTGTCATTCCTGGCATAGTAGACCCTATGATTGCCCGATTCAGAATGCCAATACTAGTCCATTTCAGCTCATTAATGCCTAGGATATCAATATTTATGTGGTCCATTTCAGTTTTGACGACTTCCAATTTTCCTAGATTCATACTTGGTACATTCCATGTTCCAATTATTAATGGATTTTTGCAGTTATTTCTTCTCATTTTGAGTTGTGTCACCTCAGCAAATGAAGGTCCTGAAAGCTTGACTCCATCCACGTCATTAAGGTCGACTCTACTGTGAGGAGGCAGCTCCTCCCTAGTCGTCTTCTGAGTGTCTTCCAACCTGAGGGGCTCATCTTCTAGCAGTATACCAAACAATGTTCTGTTGCTATTCGTAAGGTTTTCGCTGGCCAGTTTTTTTCAGAAGTAGACCACCAGGTCCTTCTTAGTCTATCTTAGTGTGGAAGCTCCACTGAAACATGCCCATCATGGGTGACCATGCTGGTATTTGAAATACCAGTGGCTTAGCTTCCAGTATCACAGCAATATGCAAGCCACCACAGTATGACAAACTGGCAGACGTGTGGGGAGTTATACCAATAGATTGTTATTGTAAAATTTGGCCTATTATACCATTATTATTCAGCTTAACAATACAATAACCATGACACATGCAATCACTTTAGGCCCCATTCTGTGGAAGGAGGGTCATTGCCTTGCACAGATGTTCAGTTCTGGATCATCTCTGGGCAGATCTTAGCTGCCAATGTCTAGGTTTTGGGAGTCAGGACCTGTGCTTTTTTATAATCCTCAGCTGTATTGACCTTAATGACCTGCTGGTCCTGGTATATGGGAATGGAGGAAGGCCTGTGTGCTTTGGTTTATCCTCACTGCACCCTACTCTCTTGAGGTTTATGGGTTAGTTTTGCTTGGGGAAGGAAGGGAGATGAGGGAGACGTCAGAGGGGACTGGGGTCTCTTTGGGGAGGGAGGAGAAGAGTTCTTCAAGCAAGGTAGGGA